GCCCCCTCCAGCCAGTGTCTCCACTCCTCCAAAGCCATTTTCACCGCCAGCAGCTCTCTGTTCCCAATGTCATAATGCTGCTCGGCAGGTGACAGCTTGCGTGAAAAAAAGGCACACGGGTGCATCCTCTGATCCTCTGCCGACCGCTGAGAGAGGACTGCTCCCACCCCGGAGTCCGATGCGTCCACCTCCACCAGAAACTGACGCATCGGATCTGGCTTTATCAGCAGCAGAGGACCACTGAAAGGTGAGTCTAGGAGAGGTGAGAGCGGTAAGAGAAGCCGCCACAGAACTATAGTTGCGGATGAAGCGCCGATAGAAATTAGCAAACCCCAGGAACTGCTGCAGCTTCTTCCGAGTGGTGGGGATTGGCCAATCAGCCACTGCTTTAACTTTAGCGGGGTCCATCAGGATCTGCCCAGGTCTGATGATAAATCCCAGAAAAGTGACCTCAGAAGCATGAAATTCGCATTTTTCCGCTTTAACGAAGAGCTGATTCTCCAGGAGCCTCTGGAGAACACTCTGTACATGCTGGACATGCTCTGATTCGGACTTAGAAAATATTAGGATGTCGTCCAGGTATACGAATACAAAGATGTTGAGGAAATCCCGGAGAACATCATTAACCATGGCCTGGAAGACAGCAGGGGCGTTAGTGAGACCAAATGGCATAACGAGATATTCATAATGTCCACTGGGTGTGTTGAATGCCGTTTTCCATTCGTCCCCCTCCCGGATACGAACCAGGTGATAGGCATTACGGAGGTCAAGCTTAGTAAAGACTGTCGCCCCTTGCAATAGTTCAAATGCCGATGAGATGAGTGGAAGAGGGTACCTGTTTTTAAAGGAAGGGGAATTCGTGACACTTGTGAACCTTTTTGTGTTACATAACTCAGGATGACTCCTGCTTGTGTTTTTCCTGACCTCCTTTCCTTTTCTTCCTCTAACAATAATGGTATCACTTATAAAGTTTAATTTCCCGATGTTTAGCATCACTGACTCAAATTTCGATTTGGCCAGGGTCTGTCTGTCAGGAAGGAAAGAACCAGCATTAATATCGTGTTGTAGTCATACGACAAGAAGACGTCAGAGGATGTGTGATTCATACACATGCAATATGTGAAAAGTAAAAGACATACAAAGGAAATTAGTAATTGTTTTCATGATTCTTTCTAATTATGTGAAACAATAAGAACCATAGATTAAGGTAAATGTGAAGAACTGCTGT